AAGGTATCATCTGAGTATTAAATCGTCATTTTATCACGAGAAAGAAACAATGAATCTCTGAACGATCTTTGTCGAATTTATCTAACATTATGTATGGACATATTTCATAAATATTCTTCCTATATATAACTAATTAAATAAAATATAAAATTCAGAGAGAATTACTTGCTTTTCAAAACAATATCACTTTTAATGGTGAATTTTTCGATATACAAGTCGACTTGAAGCGTGTTAAGAAGCACTCATACCGTTAAAGCTGAAGAATGTATCAGCTCGTTTTTTTCAAGTCATATTATTGATTTAGAGGCAATTTTTTAAACTCACGTATTTTTTCACGCTTGTTTTTTCTGGAATGCTTTAAATCGCAGTAATTTTCATTTCCTAATGACTTATCGTTTTTTCCATAGTAAAAGTAGAAAATAACCAAATGTATAACCAATGGAGAATTTCCCAATTGAGTTAACCTGACTGATTTAAAATATCTTCCAGAAAAGTACAAAATGGTAATAATAATTAACTTTTTAGGTCATTATTAATTGAGTTATGGAAACGATTGAAAAAGAAATTTATTTTACTTTTTTCTCACGCAGCTTTTATAAATCACGAAGAGGAAATATCATGTTCTCGTCTATTTTTTTTTTCTCAAATATAAGTATGTAATAGACCTATAAATTGCTCGAAAAATAACGCAACAATGTTTATTTATTCATTATTTGATTAGACAAATTAAACATTCGCTCCTGAATGACGATCAGAACCTAGGTTTGACCTTCAAACAAAACATATATGAGATAACTCTAACAAAAAGGCGTACACTTTTGAGGCTACTGTTTAAAAAGTGAAATAAAACTCGATTAAAACAAGTCAAACAGTTTGGCGAATAAAACAAAATGAAAATAGATGATTTTTAAAACAAGATTCTTTGAATATTTCCCAAAAAGTAGATGAAGACTTACTGTGAGTACGTTTTATCAAATAAAATAGGTATAATTATAAAGAAGACATTTCAACCAGTAACAAAACTAATATAGAGACATTTTTTCAAGCACAAAGAATTTAAGTCAAGTGAAATTAATCTCTTTGATTTATTGAAATATCTATTTATGTCGAAATTGACACAAAAGACAATTTTCTAAACTAATTATTCTTCAGCTATTTATGAGTATAATAGAATTACTTTTTCTCATATTCTTGTAAGATTCAAAATGCTTCATGTATTGAACATCTTTCTAAGCTTTTCTCTTCTAATATTTACCTAAAACGCTTTTTAGAAAAGCATTGAATCTATTCCTTTTGCTTTTAATAGTGATTGATGACTATGTTGCATACAGGAAAAAAGCAAGTGAAAAATCGATTTTCAAAAATCCAATACTCTACAATCTTCTTTTCAGAAGTTTAAAGATTATATCGCATTTTTTACTCAACATAATGGAAATTAGAACAAGAAATGCTTGGAATTATGGATTTTAATAATATTAGAATTTTATAACTTGGATTATATAGATAATATTAGTCTAAATATGCTATTTAAACTATGCACATTTGTTCTATCTGTGAATGAAACAATTAGGCTTTCAGCATTTTGGATTCGAACACAGTAGGTCTTGATATTTGTACAGATACTTATAGATCGTAGTTTAAATTTATATAAACAAATTTTAATTAATTCGCGATGGAAAAGTTCATGCAAAAAGCATCGACTCATTTTTCATCGGCTGATACATTTGTGAAAAAACTCTAGAATACATGCATAGAATCTATATAGAAACTTCTTTCTAATTTTGTGTTCAAATATGTTCCATCAGCTCTTATCTTTCAGTAAAAATCATGCCTTTAAAGAGCATTAATATATGACCTGTAATAGATACGAAATTGAACAGAAGATACCGTTCCGTTGAAATTTTGCTATTTCTTTCGATCCATCTCAGCCTAGGATGCTTATCTCTTCATTATAAGATTACCAGTTCTGTTTTGGGACAAATCATACGAACAATGCTCCGGAACTTCTTCAGATAACATGAAGAAAACTCAAGCCTAGATACAAAGCCACTTTTAGATTAATGTTCCTATTGTTTTACTCAATGCTCGATTTTTCGAATTTTCTACGCATTACCACAAAGATATTCACAGAGCCAATATTTCAGATCATTCATAACCATTATGTCACTTAATTTTATTAAAAATTGGGTCTTTTAGCTCTCGAAAATTTTATCGGCTCATTATTGTTTTTACATTCAGGTTGAACTCAATATGTTAAATTAATTTTTTTTCAAGTTTTCTGTGGCGTCACTTGAAGGCGACATCGTACGGGTTTCTAACATGGCTGCAGAGAATGGAATGTTATGCCAAATCTGAAAAGAACAGCACCGTTCAATGTCTTCCACTGGACAGAATAACAAAGTTCTTAGTTCTAAGAGGATGTTGATCAGAGAGTAATATTGAGCCGAACTCGATCCAGAAAAAAACGGTTCGATTCATTCTGTGATGGTCACTATTACAAAACAATACCTTGTAGAACATTTCACTACATATAGTGAACACAGCTTTCAATGTAATGTGTGGCCTTCAAAAAATTACTCTCGACATATTTTTTAAATATCTCTTTCAATCACTGAGAGTTTGACTTGTATTTTATTACAAAAGATAAGTTGTAAAATTGTTTTCAAAATTCCATAAAAGTATTTCTCTAAAAATGTAACTGGAAAAGACATTTGATCAGTAGTAGAATAGTCCAAAAAGCCTCGCTCTATATGTAACTTGTTTTAATGAAAATTAATTATTTCTCGTCTAACTAAACAGATTTCATCTATATATATAAAGAAGAAAGTTTGTGTGTTTGTTTGTTCTTTATGCATTCAGTCCCTTTAAGAGCTAGAGCAACCAAACTTTGTATGGCACACCCTCGGGTCCAGGGAAAGGTCAACAACTACTTTTTACCGAAAAAATATCGATCATCTGCCCGCAAAAGGCCGGACAATATATCTGACCAATGAGATTGCAGCGTTCGATAGTACAGGAGAACTACTAAACAGCACTCCGTGATCAAACAGAAGACAAGTCATCATAGGTTTTCGAGGACGGTGGGTTCGAATCTGAGGTCAATCTGCCTGAAATCCTATTGGTTGGCTGAAAATCAATAGGAATTCAGCCGCTAACAAACCAGCTAATGAATATTGCGTTTCACAAAAACAAGCCGGTAGGGGTTTTCAAAGGCGGCGAGTTCGAATCCAAGGTCAATTCACCTCGAAATCCTATTGGTTGACTTGGAACCAATAGGAATTTAGCTGCAAAGAAATCAGCTAATCTAAATTGGATTTTCGCGCAAGCAGTCCTCTAATGGTTTCTACACGTGATGAGTTCGAATTCAATGTCCATTCACTTCGAAATTCTTCGGGTTAGCCGGAAATCAACAGGAATTGAGTTTTCTGAGAATGAATCACTAGAAATCGAGTTTTTGGGAAAAGTAACCTCACTGGATGGTCGGGAAAAGGGTATTAGGAATCTTAAGTCTATTGATCTCAAAACTCTATTAGACCGGCCGCGCTCTACTGGGCGATCCATGTCAAGTACAAATAGGGAACTGCAAAGTGGTCCCGGTCCCGGGACCAAAATTTGACTTTTTTCACGGGACCAGGACCGGGACCGGGACTAAAAATTTTTCACATTGGTCCCGGTCAGTTTTTATGCAATATATTTTCACGTTTATTATTTTGACATGATTTAAGATCTGTAAATCAGATATTTTTATTTGCTATTTCTATAAAAGTCTTTACTGATTACGAGTCTGTTTGCAAGAATCTGAGTTTTCTAATTGCACAGGTTTTTGAATACATATAAAACAACCAACACAACACTATATACGTAAGTTTAATTTGTTCATTCTTTGATGATTCCTTTATTGAAGTCTTATCAGATAATAGTAAACAGATATGTATCGCCGTTAATTTTTTTTTTTTTGACAATCGTAATGGCTACTCAGTATAAATAATCAATTCGATAATAGATCCATTAGGTAGAGCAGTAGATATAAAAGAAGAGAGAAATAAGTAAATGACTGCTACGAAGTATATGAAAATTTTTAACAAAATTCAATGGTTATTTTTATTTATTCGAGCTTTCAGTGAAATTCTTCCACTTTAACACTGGATATAAAAGAATTTTCGTACTGTTAACGAATCAAAATTATTCATGTCAATTTTATGTATTCATAAAAGTACACAGATCGTAAAAAAAAGTTGCTCGATTTTAGAAATGAAACCATTGTCAAAGACCGGGACTGGAAAAAAATTTGACCGGGACCGGGACCGGGACTAAAAAAAGTGATTTTGGAGTTCCCTAAGTACAAATCGAGTTTTGAGGAAACTGGTCTCCGGGAGGTCGTCGGAGGCCGGGATTTCGAATAAACAGTTTGTCAGGTTCAAAAGTCTGTGCGTCAATCATTAGCTCAAAGAAATAGACTTCTTACGTTGCTGAACAAGGTCTCTGTCGCACAAAAAACTGTCTGTCTGTCCATCTTTGCAACAAATCAGAATTCAGCGTGATTCGATCAGTACAAAGTACGATTTGCCGTTCTAATTCACTCGATCAATAGGGATTGTTAAAATGAGGCTTTAGATCAATTAGATTTGTTGTTATACTTTGTTTCAATCACAGGGCATTTATTTTGTTAGGTTGTCTACGAACAGGTTTCCCAACGAGGCTCCCCACTGGTCAGGATTTTCTACATGCTGTCGAGCCCAATGCGTATTTTTCATGCATATATTAAGATTGAACTATCCCGAGCAACGCCGGGTACTTCAGCTAGTATTATTCTAAAGCAGCCTTTCTATGGTTTTAAGTGAACTTGTTCCAATAGAGTTCAGACAAGGAGTCTCCAGATAATTTTTCTGCCGTTCCCTATGACCAATGTTTTTGGAAAAACAGGTTGAAACCATTGATTACTCTTCTTACTCACACGACTCTCCGAAGAAGAAAGCCTTTGCAAAAGTCCTCTCAGGTCTAAATCTTAGAAAAACAATTTCCTCAAAGATAGTAATAAAATTGCAGCCGCATTAGTGGAAAATTCGACTTCACTAAATAAACGTTTTAGGGAATCTGTGTAGAAAATCCTTAAAACGTGAATAAAGAAGGCATACAGTACGGCGAAAAAAGCTACTTGCATAACTGATACAGCGTTTGGTTGGCTCAAAATGGAGTATTTAAATGTTCCAGTTTAGATCAAAGAGTAGCGCAAAATTGAAAAAATAAGAACAAAACGTTGAAGATAAATCTTACTAGAGCATAGTATTAATAATCAGGTATATTTTTTCAGTGATGGTTTTAAAGAGATACTGCAATGCGATTTTGTAGAGAATTTTACGGGCTGTCTTTTGAAAAGTGCAAGTGGAATCGTCTACAACTGGAAGAGATATTTAGGCAATACTTAGAAGGTAATTCTTTTGATGGGTAACTCCTTTGATTCTGTAGATATATTTTAAAGGTTGTTCACATATGCTTTAATCCATAAAATATGAATAAAATTTGGATATTAAATTTTGGATTACCCGTTAATCTATTATCTAGGATAATATATACAGAATTCAAGATTTATGACGAGATTGTCATTTTGTTAATTATCGTGATCTTAATGTGATATATCGAATGAGGATAGAATTTTATGAAAAGATATTTTCATATTGAAAAATTCATTAGAAAAGATATTGTCTTGCTTACTCGAAAATCGTTGTTGTAGTCGCAAGTGGATCAAATGTTTGTTAGTCTTGCGATCGAATTCAACACTTTTAACAAAAAAACAGACACCTGGCGTAACAAGTTCTTCTTCTTCATTAGTATATTCGGATAATAGACTAAGATCAGCAATAAAAGCTATAAATACTTCCATGATGAACAATGTATTTCCAAATTCTTCTGCTTTTTTACGATTTCGACTAGACGATGTATACGCTTGAAATGATCCATATGTCTTGTCTTTTGCCATTTCTTCATAACTAGCGATCTGTTCCTTAGTCAGTTCGGCTCCTCGATAAAGTGTCTTTTCGGTTGTCAGTTTTGTATTAAATGGATCATCCCAAAGTAATAAAGAAAATGGACCCAATGTCCGAACTTTACGTCGCCAAACTTGTTCATGTTCTTTGTCACCTACTAATCTCATAGCTGCATTCAATGTTTTGTACAGAAAGCTTTCCAATGTGTAAAGATAAGCACAGCATTTCCATACTTCTTCCATTCCTGCATTCTTCTTTTCTCTGAGCATTTTAGCCAATTTTTCGGCTTCTCGTTCTTTTCCAATATGTTTTCCTTCTTCAATTATACCACGAGCAGCTTGTTCTATGAGCATTGGGATCATGTTTGACTTTTTGGAAGGTAAATCATCCGGTTCAAGTTTCAAGTGTCTTCTGACTTCAATTACAAATGGAGATACCCAACCATATTGACCACCAAATGAACGTCCTTTACCAACAGGAAGGTCCATAAAACGTGCTTCTCGTAAATGTTTGTCTTCTCTTTCACGCTCTACACGTTTAATCGGCCTTTGTTTGTACTTGTCAGTGTTCAATATTTGACGATTACTTTTGAAATCAATGTAATAATCATCCAAAAGTGCTTGTGGTTGTTCATCTTGAAATGCTTCTTCGATGATTAAATTTTCCAAATCAGAATAATGGCTCCATGTTGCTGGCTCCGATTTTGACCAAGGGTCTGGATTCGATTGCCACATCCATTCAACATGTTTCAAAGAATTATTTGATGTTGAAGGAGCATAAGAAGCCATAATAAATATTTATTTTCTGTTGTTTTTCGACAGTACAAATGCGACAATAAGCAGGTATTATATTATCTGAAAGTCTAAAAAATAGAATAATCGTGAAATCAATGAGGCCATAGCAAAGACTTCAATTTTGAAGTCTTATTAGAATATGGAACTTTCGTAAAATTCTTTCAGGTTTTCACAAAGTATTCTAAAATCATCGAAAGTTTGTTTTTAAAGTTTCCAAAAACAAATGTCTGAAGTAACTTGAGGTGTTTCGATGTCTTAAAATGTGTTATTTCTAGTTGGGATGAAAAATAATTAATTTATTTTTCGTTTGTTGGTGAATTTTTTCAAGTTCTTAAATTTTAAGCAATATTGAAAAGCATAAATAAGAAAATAATTGACTTTACAAATATAGACAACTATAGAAACTTGAGTAATTTCTATTGAAATTAGCATTAATTTAATTTTGTTTTAAAACCTAGGAGTTTTTCTCAAATAAAATTGTTAATCTTTTTAGATAGAATAGCACAAAATTTATCAATAAAAGTTAATTTAAATACATAAAAAGAATACATAGAGAAGTTTTCCCTTAACCGCTGATGAAAGATTTTCTATTAGGTTCTGTTCTGTTTGGTTGAAAATGCCTTTCATTTTTAATCATATTTCTTTTAACGAATAGGTCGAAAAATTCCAGACAAAATATTTGCTCTTTTTCTGTCAATATGAAAATATTTCAGAAGAATCAAAATTTAACGTTCTTTCGAAAAATGAGTTTCAATATAATATTTTAGATTTTTGTGAACAATCATAAAGTTATCTTTGAAAGACTCGAAAAAGCATTTTGGTTCAGATCGATGATTCCAACCTCGAGTTTGTGCTGAAATCGGACGTTTATAATAACTTTCCAGCAGCGTCTATTCTACGAGATCCGTGGAATTTCTCGCCGAAACCCTCTAGAAAAAGCTAGGAACTTCAATGGATCCCACCGGAAAAGCTATACAAATGGTAGCAAAATCACAGCTAGAGATGTAAGTCGTGCGGCTGAGCTGCTGTTACTAAGAAAAATTGTTGAGAGTTTTAGCCGCCACAGCTGATACCTGACTACGAAAATCGAAATTTTTGAACCTATTCCCACTTATGTCTGCATCACGAAGTATCTTTATAACTTTTTCTGTTGTCTATATGTAAGAAAAATGAATACTCTGCGTCCGAAATATCGGTGCAAAGTTCTTTTATTAGTGTTGGTAGTTTAGATTTGATTTTTATCTGAATCTATGACTCCATATCACGAATTTTCATAATTTCAATGAAAGTCTTTTGACTCTAAAAAGAGCCACCTAGTGTATCAAAATGAGAATTTATTTTTTTTTGTCATTTGCACAAAAGAGCAAATGATACAGTAGACAAAGCTATTGAAAAATTTGCTTTTGCAAATGAATATTTCAATAAATAGATGATGGCTCATTCTCAATGCAAAAAGGATTAGCGTTTACATTTCTGGATGAGTCATAGGAATAATGACGAACCTCCTATTACTAGGGGTGGTACTTTACTTTTACTTTATAAAATAAATGTAAATGAATCATTTATCTTTAAAAAATAAAGGAAAAATAAAGGAATAAATGATACTTTTCCCGACGGCAGATAATGTAATTGAAAGTGCACTAGAACCATGGAAAAAATCTGCAGAGAGATTGTTACGGTTTAAAAGTGTAATTTGATTTAAAATACGCTTTCTAACATGAAATTCAAAAATAACACAAATGAAAGCTTTATTTCTGATTTTTTACGATAGCAAGAGAGAGAAAAATCTTCTTGTAACATTCTAATGTGATCAAAGGCTTTCTATGTACTCAGACATCTTTGTGAAGCTGTATTTCAGAAATCATAGAACGTCTCCATTGTATCGATTATCACCTAATCTTCCTATTTCTAAATAGAATTTCTTAATAATTTTGAATTTCACTTCTAATTATCTGCAACCTTGCCCAATACACTGTATATTTTGTTATATTCCTCAAAACAGATGGTCAATAGAAGTTGTAGAATGATTAGGGTGTGGGTGTGGGTGTGGGTGTGGGTGGG